TAAGTTATAAGTTGTAAATGGTGCGTTAGAACTGTAGTCTACTAACCGTTTCCACTTTGGATGCGTCGTATGGACACAACTTCGCAGGCCACCTCTGGAATTTCTTGAAGGAGACGAAAAAACTGGTTTTTACTTTCATTAATCTCAAGAGTTACCTACGTATGAAGGTAACAAAGACATTTGTGAAATACAGCTCTAGAGGCTAACAAACGATACAGAGAGAATCGATGTAACAGAAAAAAATATTTACTTACCTGCACACGTTTTCCATTAGCATTATTTTCAGCTCCACGCAACATTGTACAGACTCGTTCCATGCGTCAGATATTTCGATTTAAAAAAAAAATAGTTACGGAATGACGGCCTTTATTAGTCACCACCCTTGAAAATACCAGTGAAAACCTTCAAATCCAGTCCGTATTCAACTCCAAAACATCGTTCGGCAAAGAAGTCAAAGGGAAGGCTTTAAAAGCAGCGGGTGAGAGTTTGTTGCATTCACTTGGTCTACCCAGCACAAGTGGAATATCCTCGAAAGGAAAAAAACCAAAGAAGAAACGTAAAATGGAGTTGGAAAACCTACAACCTTTACCTGGCTGGGAGAATTGGTACCCTAAAGGAGATAAACTGAGAAAAGGTCTGCAACGTGACTATGACAGCGACTAAGAGAAAGAAAAAAGTCCCGAAAAGAAAAGTCGAAAGTCGTCTAAAGGGAGAGTCTCTAAACAAAAAAAGAAGACGGGATCTAAGCGGAGGGGATTCGACATTCAAAACATGTTTGCCAAGACGGGAATCGAATGGCACTGCCCCGGCTATCAGTAGATGGGACCTGGTACGCATCTGGGGAAGAGATTGAAGTGAGGGGATCCTGGCATTAATAGATTGGATAGACTTGCCAAACAGCACGACATCGATTACAGTGAAGCCAAAAACATACAGGACAAGTGGAAAGCCGATGAGAAAATGATAGCTAATATCAATAAGTTTAAAAACAAGAACATGACCGAGAGAGTAGTCAAGAGAATCATGCAAGCCAAGAAAATGTTAAAACTCTAAGTTGAATTTATTCATGTAAACAATCATCACATATTACAAAGTGTTATTAAAGTGTTTCAACACTGCATCGAAAAAATCTTGTTGTGTGAGGTTCTTGTTCACCTGGACTTTTTCGTACAAATATTTTGGATTACCTAATCCTGCACCTTTTACTGTTTTATCCTTGTCAGCTATGATCTTGGTAAATTTCAAACACACCTTACACTTTCCCTTACAATTAAGTTTGTACCACACAAAGTCTATCCATACAATGATCATCGATGTTGAATTCTAAAAGTTCTCTTAAAAAGTAAAAATGGGATGAACTCCACTACTTTTCTGTCTCAACAGATATCTTCCTTTCATTTCTAGTAACATAGATAAAGTGTAACCTAAAGATATCCGACAAGCTATATTATCCCAGTCACAGGTCTTTTGCACCAACATCAAACAAAAAAACCAAACACACATTGTAAATTCTATTAGTCACAGAATCCATGGCTTTAAGAGGCTCGCTCTTTAGAGCTCTTCTTACAAGCTTACTTTCATACCTAGTAATGGTAACAGGTTTCGGCTTTACATACAGATCATAATGTATCAAAAATGCTTCTTCGATTATACTTGCTTCTTCGCCAGTAAACTTATCTGATCTTTTTATTTCATTCAATATTTGAAGACGTCCTTTACAAACAGGACATATTGTGTAACATTTATCGACACACAATGAATGAATAGGTTTGTAGCAACATCCTATCCACTTCATTTTCATTTCTTCCGTTACATCATCTTTGTCACAAACAACACATTTTTCTTTACAAGATCCATTACAAGATGCCATCTAGAAAATTAAAATTGTTGATAGTTTAATCGAAATGAAATCAACCATATTACAACAATCAATCATATCTTTTTCCTCCAACATATCAAACTGTCTTCTCGTAAAACAAACGACAAGTACTTGTGCAGGTTAGAAAGAGCCTGGAAAATTGTGGCAAGATAATGGAAAAATCAGCACCAAAGGCATCCAATGGTATGATTCTAGAATGAGAAGTCTCGTCAAAACCTGCACCCAGGAATGCGCCAAAAGCTCAGCCAAAGAACAAACTTCTGCAAAAACGTTTACCTCTTGCAACACGCAAGAGTAAATATTCAGGCAGAGTCGGGCAGGTAGCAAACAACTTGAAACAGGGGTGCCATGTGGACCCCCTTAAGTCAACTGAAAATTCCAAGCGCAAACAAGTGGAGCTACAGGTATAAATAGTAGTATAGGGCAGCGGTATATGAATTGAACCAATCACAGAGCCCCATTTAGCACACATGACGTGAATCAACCAATCACAACGCTCCGATTTTACACGTGACTTTTTATTGAGAACAATGGATTACATCACAACTTCCTATAACCTACTTCCTAAAAAGTGTTCAGTGTTCGTGACTACTAGGCTACTTGACGTTACAATGTTCATTTATTCAAAATCAGCTAATAGAAGGACATTATCAATGTCATTATCATCAAAGACGGCTTTTCTGTAGCCGAAAGGGTATGATAAGAATGTGTCTGGGTCAATGACTCGTTTGTCGAACACAACTCGATAATTTTTAATCTGTTCGCCTGTGGTCAATCTTTTTGTTTCAGGATCCCGACTGATCTTGTGAGGGTCTACGATGGGAATCTTTCTAGGAACACTTTCTCCGGTGGATTTGTTTCTTTGAGGAGAAGTGACTTCGGATATTACGTTTTGTTTTAATGTTTTGTAGTTCAGTTGTTCTTGTCCGTGAGTATTGAGCGTGAATCCACGTACTTTACATTCGACTTTACCTTTCTTTGTGGTGTAACCATAGTTCTTGGGACCAGCGGAAGCGAATTCGACGATGTGATCGTCTTTGGATAGCTCGTTGGTGAATTCACTGAGGTAATCACCCAGTGGAAGAGTTGGCTCTCCTGCTTTCAGTGAGTATATGATGGAATCGGTATTGAAGTAAAGGACTTGTTGGGGGTTTAATTTACTCAGACCATCTTGATATAACTTTAATCGAGCCCAACACGTTGTGAAACAGGCGATGAAAATGTTAGTATTGGGTTGAATTCTCTGTTCGTCATCGACTTTTTTGTATACGATTTCTACCATTTCATCATTCATGATCTTCAGGGCTTGGACTATTTTACTGTCGTCTTCGATGATTTCGTATAGACACGTGGGTTGCGTGATGGCCACTACTTGACTTTTGTTACCTTGTTGACCATATTTTCCCCAGAAACTGTTAAGCATCATTTTGGCTAATGATCTTCTTCCGGGATTTTTTTTGATCTTGTCTATTTCTAGTTTGATTCCTTCGTGTTTTT